CAGTGTATTCAGATGACGTGGCGCGTTCGGATTGAGTGTCCGGTGACCAGATGTAATAATTCGCCCTACATAGCATGGACATGGAGGCTTAGGACAACTATAATTTTTCATTTTAGCTTCGAGCTTAAAAGTATTTTGCATTGATGTATGTATTATACTCAGATTACGATTTAAACTAACAAGATTATCTGGAGACGATCAATTGCCTGCGATCAAAACCGCGTGTTCTCTTCTGAACCGCTTAGCGAGTACGATCCTTCGGCAACATTTACGGCCTCGTGTTCTTCCTCAGAAGATTAAATGTATATATATTTCTTTTTTATTGATCATTTTGCTGTGCGGCTGCGGAAAGTGGATTGGTTAAATCAAAATTTTAATTTCCCCTAATTTACTCCTCTAAACGCGCTTGAAAACAGAGAAAAGACTTCGATCTTCCCGGCTCCGTCAATCTGCAGCTGTGAGCTTGTCGCATGCTGACCGATTTACATTAATTACTTCATAATCACTTTTAGATTTCCGGTTATTGAGGGAAGGTTAGAAACTATTTCAAAGAAAATAATAATAATAATAATTGTGGAAAAAAGAAAAGCAATGAAGGAATAATCCTAATTCGGTTCTCTCGTCCTTCTTTTAATCCAAAGACGTGGGGAGCTGTTGTTGCAGTTTGGTTTGGTTTGTCTGACGTTATATTAAGGTGGGGAGAAATAGAAGAAGAGGGCGAGGGGCAGGCCGAACAAGAGCTTGTCTGAGCTGCGTGCGAGGAAATGATGACAGCTTAACCTGCGTTACGGCATTGTCTTTGATTTCCGCATTCTCGGTTTGAAAGCTGAAGGCTTGCTTTGGGGATTTGATTCCCGGGGCCAGATTTGAAGGAAAGCTTGGATCTTGGCTGCAATGGCGCCGTCTTTCGATTGGTGGGTGAAGGAGATATATAGAGGCACGCCTGTGATCGTGAAGATGGAGAACCCCAACTGGTCGATCTCGGAGCTCTCTTCGCCGGAAGACGACGAGTTCGCCGAAGCGCGGAAGGGTGGGAAAGGGAAGAACGCGAAGCAGATCACTTGGGTTCTCCTCCTCAAAGCCCACCGTGCAGCCGGCTGTCTCACCTACTTAGCATCGGCCACCGCCCGCCTTTCTGCCGCCGTCCGCCGCCGCATCGCTGCCGGACGAATGGACTCCGACTCTGGCGAGAGTCCAACTCTTCCCCGTCGCTTCTACACATGCATCAAAATCTTCCTTTGGCTTTCCATCATCCTCCTGGCTTTCGAGATCGCCGCTTACCTCATAGGCTGGCACGTCTCACCCCCTAACCTCCATGGCTTCAAGTTTCCCTCCTCCTTTGGCGTTCGCAGCCTCTTCGGCTCCATTTACGCAAGCTGGCTTAGCTTCCGCATGACGTACATTGCTCCGCTTCTGCAGTTCCTTGCAAACGCTTGTGTCGTCCTTTTCCTGGTTCAGAGCGCCGATCGTTTTATTCTCTGCGTTGGTTGCTTCTGGATCCGTTTCAAGAGGATCAAACCAGTTGCAAAAGCTATTGCCGATGATTTGGAAGGCGGCAAGTACTCCCCCATGGTCCTCATCCAGATGCCCATGTGCAATGAGAAAGAGGTAGGTTTTTAAAGATGATATTTTGTTAAATGTGTATTGAATACTGGCTTTTGCTGGATTTATTCACATTAGGTTGCCTGCATTTGAAGGTTTACCAGCAATCCATTGCTGCTGTTTGCAATTTGGACTGGCCGAAGTCAAATTTGCTCATCCAGGTTTTGGATGATTCTGATGATCCCACAACACAGGCTCTCATCAGGGAGGAGGTTAAAAAGTGGGAGCAATCTGGTGTTCAAATCATCTACCGGCATCGCATTATTAGAGATGGATACAAAGCTGGAAATTTGAAGTCAGCCATGCATTGTAGTTATGTAAAAGAATACGAATTCGTTGCTATTTTTGATGCAGATTTTCAGCCCACACCGGACTTCTTGAAGCTAACAGTGCCCCATTTCAAGGTTGTGCAGTTGGATTGGTTTGAGCTGAGATCTTTCTTCATCTTTTTTGTTCGAATAATCTTTTGATGCCTGTGGTGTTGATGGTTAATTTGCAGGGGAATGAAGAGTTAGCTTTAGTTCAAGCAAGGTGGTCTTTTATCAACAAAGATGAGAACTTGCTGACCAGGCTTCAAAACATCAATCTTTGTTTCCACTTTGAGGTGGAACAGCAGGTTAATGGTGTTTTCATCAACTTTTTTGGGTTCAACGGGACTGCTGGCGTTTGGAGAATTAAGGCATTGGAGGATTCTGGAGGGTGGCTGGAGCGGACCACAGTTGAGGACATGGACATTGCAGTTCGAGCACATCTCAAGGGTTGGAAGTTCATCTTCTTGAATGATGTGGAGGTAACGGAAGAATTCTAATCTTTGGTTGCATAATTCTTTTATGTGTTTGATTGTTTGTAGCATGAACTACGATTCTTACTTCAACTTGTGCTCTCTTTCAGTGCCAATGTGAACTGCCAGAATCCTATGAGGCCTACAGGAAGCAGCAGCATAGGTGGCATTCTGGCCCAATGCAGTTGTTCAGACTTTGTTTGCCAGACATTATCCGATCCAAGGTATAAATTTTCAAACTTTTAAGGTTTAGTTTGGGAAGGCTTTCTTACTGCTTTTTAAAGCAGTTTTCTAGTATGAAAATTAAAAGTTTTACCCTGAAATATTACTTTAAGAAGAGTAAGAAAGCCGTCCCAAACGAAACCTAAGTCAACCATTGAAAACAACAACACGGGGCTGACCCATACCATCATCTGCACCTTTATTTCTACTTTATTTAGATGTCTCCTGTTCACACATCATAATCAATATATTTCCACATTGATCTCTACTATTATGTCTTTACTGGGGAAAATTATTAGGTTCGGACACCGGACGTAGAGATACGTCTGGACATCCACTAAAATGTGACACATGGAGTGCGCTTTTGTTGCACTTTTTTGTGTGTTTTATCTACACTTTACATGCGCTTTAGTTGCGCTTTGACTTCTCTTTTATTGTGCTTTTTACTGCGCTTTACCTGTGCTTTGATTGCTCTTTTGGTGCGCTTGGCTTAAAGTTCCACGGACATATTAAACATATAAAGTAAAAAATAAATTCAAATGAATATCCATGTGTCCACTCCATATGTCAAAATTTTATTGGAGTCCGGACTTATCTACACGTCCGGTGTCTGCACCTAATAATTTTCCTTTTACTAGAGTATGTTGCTTCAACATAAAAATATTGTTTCATCTTTCATGTCTGCAATGCAACAGATGGTAATGAATCTTGCAGACAAGATAAACACAGTAGTTTTTATTTTTGCTCACCCACATCTTCCAGTTTACTAACTATTTAGTGTCCTTAATTTCTATGCAGATTGCATTCTGGAAGAAGGCCAACCTTATATTTTTGTTCTTTCTTCTTCGCAAACTCATCTTGCCATTCTATTCATTCACTCTTTTCTGCATCATCCTCCCCATGACAATGTTTGTCCCTGAAGCTGAACTCCCAGCCTGGGTAGTTTGCTACATCCCAGCTACAATGTCATTCCTGAACATCCTTCCTTCACCACGATCATTCCCTTTCATTGTCCCCTACCTTTTATTTGAGAACACAATGTCAGTAACCAAGTTCAATGCCATGATCTCCGGCTTATTCAAACTTGGCAGTGCCTATGAATGGGTTGTTACGAAGAAATCCGGTCGATCTTCAGAAGGCGACCTCCTATCTCTGTCTGAACTTAAACACCGGCGAGGTGGTTCAGCTCCTGAACTCAACTACATCACAAAAGAACTAGCAACTCTTCCAAAGAAAGAACCAAAAAAGAAGCACAACAGAATATATCGAAAAGAGCTCACACTTGCCTTCCTTCTTCTAACTGCTGCTGCTCGCAGCTTGCTCTCTGCTCAGGGCTTGCACTTTTACTTCTTGTTGTTTCAAGGTATCTCATTTTTGTTGGTTGGACTTGACTTAATCGGTGAGCAGATCGAGTAGACTCAATGGGAGGTGTTTAGCAATGAAGGTGCTTTGCAACAATGGCAGGATTCAAATGTATCTATGCCTTTCCCCGAAGGTTAAAGGGTGAATGAAGATAGAACTCCTTTTGTTTGGAAGTGTAGATACAGCAATCTCAGCTCTGTTAGATGCTTTAGATTCTTTCAGGTCTTCTATTCTTTTGCAAAAAAAATTTGTTGTTCACTTAGTAGTTTTAGTACAGTTTACAGAATCTACCTTTATATGAAGGCAAGTTTAAATGTTCTAGAATTATGATATTGCTTGCTAGTTTTTTAATAAAAAATAGAATTGATACACTATATGTGACCATTTGGAAAAGTTGTATGCTTCAACAAGATGGCTAGATAAAATCACTGTGAAAGACGAATCAAAACGAGCCACATAACTATTGAGATTGTTGTTCTGCTAATGAAAAAAAATGAATTAGTTCATTTGAAAAGAAAACAACTGTTGCTTCTCTCTCAATTTCGAATAGTATCTATTAATGGAGAAATCATTCTGTGCAATTATCGAACCGTTCAGAGGCGAATCATAATGCAACAGATCACCCGATACCGAGTGGTACACAGCAGCGGTACATAGCAAAAAAATGACGTGACGTATTCTCATTTGCCTTTAAACGCCGTTCGATGACTGCACAAAATAATTTTTCTTATTAACAATGACAAAATGTGCATACCCATTGTTTGCCTCTCATTATTAGTCCCCATGCAGTGCTGGGCTGTGGAGCTGGCAGGATAAGGATTTTCAGTACACTGCAACCAGAAAATTGATATTTATGCCACATTGCTATTTAATGAATGCAGAAATAAAAAGCTTATTTATTCTTTACAAACTTATTACAATATCTAAAATCCAGGGAACATTTTTATTTATTTATTTGCTATTCTTTTGCTTCGATGACAACAAATCATTGTTGTCATGTGGGAAAATATTCTATCCCTTTCATCAAATGTGTCATGAGATCGTGTTGTGGCTCGTTGGTTGACGGTTCCTCCAAGCAATCCCGTGTTCGAATCTCCTAATTTGGCCGGAAAAAAAAATAAAATGTATCATTGTCTTCTCTATGTTGAAGCACTTGAATGTGAATGATTACCAAATATTCTCTCTTTAAGTAAACTCTTTCTAATCATTCTTCCCTTCATTAACTAAGGAACCCATGCAAGATCACTGTATTAAGGGGCTTTAAACAATGAGATAAGAATTTTCTGATTTAACATACAAACATTGTGGCAGCAACATCAAATAGTAATCTTGCATAGTTCTACATCACATATGATATGATATATAGGATATCTCTTTATAAATTTGGTACGACTACGGCTTCATTTGGGACGGTTTTCTTATTGCTTCTTAAAGCAGCTTTTTAGTACAAAAATTTAGAAAGCTGCTTTAAGAAGCAGTAAGAAACTCGTCCCAAATGAAGCTTGAAATAAGCACAAGCTGTATTTATAAATAATATGATTGAGTTAAATTATTTGCCTATCAAACTATAATACACAAGCAGGGAGGAAGGTTGGAAGAAGCAATTATACATTAATAGGTGACAGACTGAGCTTTGTTTTCATTTACTGACATATCTATTAAAGAGATATGTGCAGATGATAATGCTTTACATTGCACAACTTTTTGCTCAAATAAAAGTCATAAATCTGTCATTTTTATGAGAAAAAAAGCAATAGAAAAGCATTATCAAGCAAGGCATTAACCAGAAGAACCAGAACAAGAGGATGCTGCATGTGCTCTTGCAGATTGAGATCAATTTGTATCAATAAGTAATTGATTCAAACTTTTTTTCTTTTTTTCAGTAAGCATGTTAAATTTTATATCAATACAAATTCTCAATTTTGTTTAGTATTTCCTTTAGTTTTTAAATTGTTATCCTCTTCTGAATGGAAACCTTCATAGGTTTTTAAAAGAGTTCTAATGAGATGGTTTTCTCCTTATGGATTAGTTCTTGGAGGGATGGGTTGTGTTGGGGTTAAAGTCATGATTTTAAGGTTTCGTTTGATAGATTTCTTACTGCTTCTTAAAACATTTTTTAAGTACAAAAATTTTAATTTTTGTATTAGAAAGCAACGTTAAGAAGCAGTAAAAAAAGTAGCCCCAAGTAGAGCCTAAGTCAAAGATAATGAAGTCCCATGAACAATTGCCACATTAAGCCCTTAGACATGTAAAATAGTTGTGTATTTAAGTGAATTGCTTTCAATTGTATGAAGTTCTTGAATGGGCCACTCTGCCTACAGGGCAGAGTTATAAGTCTAGTTGTTCAAATTCAATCCTTGTTCTCATAAAAATTGGAGTTGATAAGACTTGAACAACAGGAATAGAGTTTGAGTGATAAGTTTGAAATATATCATAATGAAAGAATCATTGTAAGTCATATTCTCATTTTAAATTAATCAAATTCATAAATGAGTATATAAGTATTAAATATATGAAGATATTTTATTTTACGTTCACATTAGATCTTCAAAGCCTCTTATGAATAAGATTTAAACTCTCGAAGTCACCTCATTTATATGGTAGCTCGAAAGTTAATCTTCAATTCCAATCATTTGTAAGCAAGAAGACAGAGTAGATAAGGTTTAAAGTGATCAAGTGTATAAACATATTTCACGGCGATAGCTATGTCTACAAAAAATCTCAACTAAAAGGGACTCCAGTTTAGGAATGCCCTCATATCCCATAATAAATCATATCGGGATTAAATATCGATAAAATGTAAAAATCTAAAAATTTATGAAGTGTAAAAATATTCAAGTAAAATATTTCATCTTAAAGTTTAAAGATAATACATCCACCTTACGTAATGGCTTAACTTTAGTGACAAATTTAAGATTAACCTCTATTCATAAAGAGCCAATATAAAAATAAAATAAAATTAAAAAAAATAAAGAGCCAATATCTTTTTAAGTGTATCGTTATAATCACTCTCAAAAGATCTCATTCCAATTAAAGATGTGACATGTGTCCTCTAACTATGTGATTTTATCCTCAAATGATATAACTAAATAATTGTTATAACCAAGCTCTCTAATAGAGTGGTTTCATCCTAAACCCTAATGATTATAGCCAGAATATTCCCTATTAGCTCTACATTTGATAAGACAAAAATCAAAGCTCTTTACTAGCTAAGATCAATTTAAAATCATCCATTTAGTCAAACTTCCACCAAAGGTCTATATGTTTCTCTTGGACGATGAAACCCATGGCTTGTAATAATGATTTTTTAGTCAAGTTGAGTTCACTATCTCTATTGACCAAGTACACAATGGCCCATGATAACATGGGATGATAGAACTATGGATTATGATCAAGTTCATTATCATTTTTCCAACCATCCACTTGAAGCTAAAATGTGAATCCTAAAATCAAATTCTTACTACTATACACTAAGCATTTAACATTTATCAACTTGCTTTAATTGAAAGTTCTCTCTCATCATCGAAAGAGATAATTAACTATACGAGATTGCACTCATGAGTCCTCATAAAATAAGATCAAAATTTCTCTATGGTGTCAAAATCTCTATATAGTGGCTTATTTGTAATCAGATATATCTTTTAAAATTTTCATCATAAGCACGTACTCTCAAAAGATTTAGGCTCAAAATTTACATTACATAAATGTCTAACAACTCCATTGGGGAAGATTTCTCTTTCCATTTTTTACTATTCATACATACATTATAATTGCAGCTAATTTATAACAAAATGAAAGTTGAAGATTTCCCCTTGTCACTAACTCAAAATCATAAATCACTTTTGGAAACAAAAAAACTCATAAATAATATTCATTATCAGTTTTCAAATATAATATATTTAAATATTAATTTTTTTGTATCTCTTTATTTTGAAAGTTTAGGATGAATAACAAATATTGATTACTATTTCTATATTTTTCATCTATACAAAATGGATTTTTAAAATAACCATTTCACCATGAAACTTAGGCATGGCGCCAACTTTCTCCATGCAAATGTTGTGCTTTATAATGGAGATGTTGGTGCCACCATCCACTTTGGCGACTTCAAGTTTTGGTAGTGCCCATGATAGGAATGATTGTTCAAGGCCATATTATAGGACCTTATATAACTTAAAGTACCCGCATGATGAGTGCCTAACTGCCCATATATAAGAGAAAATATTCTAAAGTTCCTGATGTTATAGAGGTACCTTGAAAGAGGATCTTAATATTTGAAAGATTAACTACTATTAAAGCCCTAAATATGAAGAGAACAATCACAACGTAGAAAATTTTACTTGTGCCTCCTAATGCTATCACCTTACCTATTGAGCCTTTTATGCCAGGGAGATATGATGTCAAAGCTTCCTCGCATGAAGGAAGGCTACCCAATAGGTAAGGTCGGTTTAAAATTGTCTCTTTAAACAAATAGCTATCTCAGATCTACAAGGTTCTCCTGGATGATGCAACCTATTGTTATAAACAAGAATTATTGGTCAGATTGGATTAGATTGACTACTTCTAGTGAAAAAGTATAACTTTGTCCATGTCAACATAACCCGAGAAAATGGAATGATGTAATCTTGATCAGATTCATCATTATTTCTCCTATCATTTGTTTTAATATAAATGTGATAAATTTTTCAGTTTTAAAGCCCAATTGCTTAGCACCTATAAAAAAGTTTTAATTGAAAGTTCTTTTTCATCATCAGAAGGAATAAGCTTAGGTCTAAGTAACATAAAACAAGATTAAAATTTTCATAAAATAAGAGTGAAATGTGTAGATATTATCTTATATACAATTTAATGTCTTATAAATATTCACTTAGAACACGCTCTCTAGAAGAGCCGAAGCTTTTGCAAGCCACAAAATTATCAAAAAAAAAAAAAAGTGCATTAAATGCAGATCCTATTAGATTATAGGGAAATTTACATACATACCACCATATACTTATTATTTTACATATCTAACACCTTATACATTAATATTACACATATACCACCAAAATCCCTAATTTATATTATTTCTACCGCTCCGTCTAAAGCATTCCTCACGACGTCTATCTTCCCGCCCCAAACCTGTCTTCGCACATGTGTCAGATGTCTTTTTTCCCGCCGAAATCCCCCTTGCCGCTAAGTCTCGCAAATTTTCTTCGTTGGGCGTCTCTCGATTTTCCTCCATTTGAGGCCGATACAGCTAGTGCTCGCATTGTCCTTCACGATAATGTCTTCCTAACCTTTTTTTTATGATATGTAGCTTTTGTGGATAAACAAACTATATTGTCCTCTGCATCTTCATTAGTAATTTGGTAAATATATAATACTCCAATTTTTAATAGCTACAAAATCATTTTGAAGTCCGACAAAGAATCATCCCAGGAAAAGCTAACAAAATAATTTTGAACAAAATTACTTAGGAATGAAAACCAGCATTTTTTAACGAGGTCCGTCAATTTTTAACGAAACTTAGCATGTAGGTGACGGACAACAAACCAGCCTCCGAGCAAATCAAATCATTTTGAACAAAAATGAGAGCATGCATCAGAACTTACCTTCCCCCCTCCTGCGAACTCCCATTTTCCGTTTAGTCTGCCCTAACTTACTTTCAAATTCTCGCCCAACAAGATGGGAGAAAAACGGCATGAGGAAGGCTATGATATAAATTAGGGATTTGGGTAGTATAAGTCTAATATTAATGTATGAGACGATTTCTTCTCGACGCTGCAACCTCCGGCGTGACTCTGTGATCTCCTTTCCCCGCGACCGACAAATTCTCTCAAGTCTGTGCAGCGGGAAAGTGGGAATGTTGGGGCGGCGAAGAGGAGATGCGAAGGTGGGAGCATAGTTGAGATTATAACTCTAACGTAGTTTTCGTAGGTTAACAGAGCAGAGTATATGAGCACTTGCTTTTTAGAAGGGCGGGAAGCTGCCAAGTCCCAACGGTTTCAACCCGTTCTAGGGTTTTATTTATCCTCCTCTTTTATCGACATAGAGAAATGTTGAGCAGAAAGAGGAGGCGGGAAGAGCCGCCGTCGATCCATCCTCGTAATCGCTACGCCGAAAATCCACCGGACTTTGCGCAACTCGCATCACTCTATCCCTCATTCGAGCCCTTCGTCTTCTTCTCCCGCTCAGGCCGCCCTACCATCGACTGGAAAGACTTCAACGCTACCCGCGAACTCACCCGCGTCCTCCTTCTACACGACCACGCCGTGAACTGGTAAATTTGTTTCTTGTGTTACTTGAAAATTGGTAGAAAAAGTTGGTTTCATTGTTCAAATGAGGGCTTTTCTTGCGTTTGCTTGAAAAAAAATGTAGGAATTTAAGATTTGATGGGTTAATTTGCAGGTGGATTCCTGATGGGCAGCTCTGCCCGACGGTGCCAAATCGATCAAATTATATTCACTGGATTAATGATCTGCTTTCTTCTGAGCTTATACCCGCAACACATGGATCGGATCACAGAATCAAAGGCTTCGACATTGGAACTGGCGCTAATTGTATTTACCCGCTTCTTGGTGCATCTTTGCTAGGATGGAGTTTTGTTGGGTCTGGTAGATTTCTCGCTTTCTTCTCGACTATTTAGCATTTCTGATAAACCTTCATTTTTTTTTACTTAACCTGTTTGATGCAATACCTAAGCGATGCGTTTGAATTCTGTTCTTAGATGTAACAGAAGTTGCTTTAGAGTGGGCTACAAAAAATGTGGAGAGCAACCCCCACCTATTGGAACTCATCAAGATTAGGAATGCTAATGATCCATTTAGTTTAGGTGGTTTTACATCGAGTAGAAGAGATATCACCAATGAGAGTAATCCCGATCTGTGTATTGAAGAGAACACTCAGCCTCTATGTCAAGATCTAAAGGAGCCTAGTGCCCTAGATCCTCCAGTACTTGTAGGTGTTGTTAAAGATGGTGAAAGTTTTGACTTTTGCATGTGCAATCCTCCATTTTTTGAGAGCTTTGAGGAAGCCAATCTCAATCCTAGGACTTCATGTGGAGGGACAGCGGAGGAGATGGTTTGCCCCGGTGGAGAAAAAGCTTTTATCACTCGCATCATTGAGGATAGTGTTGTTCTCAAACGTTCTTTCAGGTGAAGTGGTTGATGACCTATAACTTGTACCTTGCTATCTATTCTTAGTATTTTTTTAATGGATAATTGACCAGCTCCTTTTCCCTATATTCTTTGTGTAGGTGGTTCTCAACAATGGTTGGGAAAAAGGCCAACTTAAAGTTTCTAATATCAAAGCTCCGTGAGGTTGGGGTGTCTGTAGTGAAGACAACAGAGTTTGTCCAAGGTCAAACAGCTCGATGGGGCCTTGCATGGAGTTTCATTCCCCCAAGCAAGGATTTTATTTCATCTAATACACCTATGAGAAGCCAAATTTCCTTTACACTTGAGGTTTATCAATCATGCATATTTTCAGTGATAAATGTCATGCTTTATATCCTTTGTCTTTCTATTGCTATCATGAAAAGTTGATTTTTAAGTCGAGTGCTCTAAAGTTGGGTATTTTAAAGCACAAGTTTATGCTGTGTTGTTTTGTATTTGTGTTGTGCCTTATTGTCAAGTAAAATATATGATTGTTTGGTAAAATTGTTGTTTGAATTATTGTAATGGATGTACTTATTTTCTAAAAATTGATGTGAGAGTAAGGTGAATTGCTTAAATAACCAAAATTAACATAATTATATAATAAAAAATCGAATACATTTATTTAAAAATATTATATTTTAATTATTAAGGATTAATTTAGTTAATTATGCAGATAGAAATTAAATCAAATTTATAATTCAGATCAAGTAATTATTTATAACACAATTGTTTAATAAGAATTTGCAATTTCTTAAATGATGACAAAGAGTTTTGTAAAATCCATCCTATATGAAAGTATTTCACAAGCTAATTAAAAAGAAATGGGAGTATTTTGGAAAAGGGTAGAGTATATTGTGCGTATTATAAAGTCTATCAAAGGAGTTTTGTCTTAAAATTTTTCCAAGCTGCTTCTAACAAGAGTACGTTTTAAGAAAGCTTACTTGTTTAAATTTTTAAATAGAGCTAGGCATTTCTGCACAAAAGTGCGCCTGTCACTCACCAAACACCCTAAAATTAATTTGTTTGTTTAGAAAAGCAAAATCAGGTAGTAGAAGGCGTTCTCAAATTGTTCTAAATATGAGTTGAAATTGAAGATACAATGGTTATCTTTACCTGCTTCATTGCTTGGTTTCCCGTTGGGCCTTATTCAGTTCTATAGTTTTGATTGACAGGAATGTTTTGCTGTTTTGGAAAAAAATTTCTGCATGTGATATTGTCTCACGGCAATAATCCTTCTTGTTGTCTTAGCTTGAGTGATTTTCTCCGAAGTTCTTCTCCACTAATTAGATTACTGTTTATCTGCTTCAGGGCTTGAAACGTCAGTGTGGTGCATTTCAAGTATTAAAATCAATGGAATCTTTTTTCTTGGATAAAGGCATTTCTTGCAAAATTGACCTTTCTTCCTTTTCTATGACGGTAATATTTTTGTTGGAAGAACCTTTTTACATGATATATTTTCCCACTCTGAAAGCTGCTACTTTTTTTATAGGTTACTTTATCTGAGGTACAAGTTAATATAGCTCCTAAAAATGGTCTGGAGTTGTTAAAAGCTGGTGAAAACCAACCATCAAAGTCACAATGTGTATTTTGTGTTTCGGTATGTACAGTTATATCATTAGAAACAATGGCAAGTTCTTCATTTTTAATTTACCAGCCTTGATTATCTTTCGTGTTTCTTGTTTAGTTACTTGAACAGATCCCAGGTACACTTCTTGTGAGATGGTCATCGTCAGCAAAAGATAGACCAGCAGTCTCAGGTACTTACCATTCAAATTCTTTCCATGAACTCTGCTTGGATATGATTATTTGTTTCTGATTTGAATCAAATTTTTTTAATCTTCTTTTGTTATCATTTATAAAAATGTAATTTGGTCAGATTTGATGTGGTATACTAATTTTCATGACCCTTCTCACTGTGATAAAGAAGGTTAAGTGATTAACCGGGTCAATTGTTTAAAATGATAAAACTTGGGGCTTGGTAGGTTTTCAAATAACGTTTATAAACAAATATTTACTCTTTCCACTATATGATTAGTTAAAGTTTACTCTATCAGATTATGAAGCACATATCTACTTTTGTAATACAACATCAAGTTGTAAACACGGTTAAGATTTGCAACCAAAAACTCTGAAATGTGATTAGTTTGGTGTTCTGTTAATAGAGGAATTGGTAGGAAGAGTATAGATTTGTGCTTGTGGTTGGTAGTTAATTTTTGAATTAACTGTAGTGAAGAGGGTATCTACCTAAAGATGATGAGGCAATTGAGCTTTAATAAGTAGAGTTCAAACCATTTCAATAAAATGCCTATGTTTGTATTCTGCTGCCCCATTCTATTGCGGGGTATAAGGACACTTGAATTGTTGTTGAATGCCTCATCTAGAGAGAATATTTTGTAGAACGGTATTATTATATTCTTTGCCATCATCAAAAGATAAAATTTTGAAAGATGTTTAAAATAGGTGTTCAACCAAATTTTTTAGTGAATAAACTTTTGGGTCATTTCATATTCATATCTCATAAGAAACATTTAATAATATTTAAAAGAGTCATCAACAAAAGAAATATAATAATGATGACCTTAGGTTGAAATGATTGGGTGGGTCTCCATGCATCATGAGGCATAAGTTCAAGAGGTTTATAAGTAAGAGTAATTGATTCAGAAAAAGGGTAGTATATAACTCTTTGTGAGTACACAAGAATTATAGGACTACATATGCGAAGTAGATAGAGAAAGAAATTATCTTAGGGGCAATGCCACATGGTTGAGAAGGCTTGGTGGATGGTATAGCACGAGTACATGAATTTTGCATTGTTTTGTGTGGGGAGTTTCTTGGATGTTCAAGATGGCAATGCCACATGATTGGATGGCAGAGCATGAGCACACGAATTTGGGGACTTGATTGGATATAAGCCCTTATGGAACCAGCAATACAACAGGAGGTGAGGGCGGGCTAAGCCAACCTTGTCTGCCAGTTCAGCACAAGCCAAACCAGCAGGGTCATGCGGAACATAGAGCGCGAACAAGAGGGGTTTCGGCCTTGTGGAGCCCAACAAAGTTATGATTCAATATGTTAAGAGAAGGAATAATGAGGAAAGTATTGAATGAATTCTAATTTTGAATTGAAATAAGAGAGAAATTAATTAAGGAAAGTGAGCTGTTTGGGAGGGAAATTGGAGAGCTTAATTAGAACTGGTTGTGTTGCTCTTAGGATGTATGTTTTTTGTTTTTTACTGTAGTTCTTTTCTTAGAGAGCTTCCTAGCAGCGTCTAGGTTGTTTGGGAGAGTCTATCTACCTCTATAATCATAGATCACTTGTATCTTATTTTTTTATTGAAGCGATAATATAAAATTAACCATTGTTTCTAGTATTCCTGCAATTTTGTAATGTTCCTTTCGTTGGTTTTTACTTCCAATGCATATCAAATTGGTATCATAACGAGATAAATGACAACAAAGAAGATGGATGCATCAAAAGGCGAGATGCAACAACTCAAGACTTGAATGGAGGAAAAATATTGTGGCGTGGAAGAAATACTCTCATCCATAGAGAATCGCTTTGAAAACATGGAAGACATGATAAAGAAGATGATCGAGATATAGTTGAAAGCTTCATCGGCGATTCCTAGGGTTGAACCAAAGGGAAAAGAAATTTATGAGGATGATGATGAAGTGGAGAGCAAAGAAAGGACAGCAAGAAGGGGGAAGGCCGAACCTTTTGGGAGACCACCCAGGTATGGTAAGAGGTGGACCGAAGGTGGTAATGGCTGGGCGAAGCCATGGGGTCCAAATCAACCAATGGAGGAATGGAGAGAATCACACCATCATTACACGGGAGGAACTAACAGATGGATGCGAGACCATTGGGGTATAGATGCCATATCAATGGAGTTAAAGGTGACAATTTTTTAAAGGGAAGATGCTCAGGATTGGGTATATCGGATGGATCGTTACTTTGCTATCAACGGACTGATGGAAGTGAAAAAGCTCATGACGATAGGGCTATGTTTGGAGGGGAAAACCCTAGCTTGGTTTTAATATAGGTAGGCTAGGTATCCAATTTTTTCAGGTGGAAATTTAAAGAGTGTTTGTTGGAACGTTTTCAAGCCATTCTAGAAGGAAACGTCCACAAGAAATTCTATGCTTTAACTCAAGAGAGGATAGTCATGGAGTATCGGGAGAAGTTTGAGCTTGTGTTAGGACGACTGAGGGGAATTTCTGAGGAAGCGTTAGAAGGGAATTTCATGAAGGGGCTTAGGGAAGACATATGAGTAGAGCTTAGAGTGTTGAGACCTAGAGGGTTGAGGAAACGATTGAGCTTGCTTAAATGGTGGAAGAAAAATATCAGAGGGAGAAAGCCAGCCGGAGCAACACCATGGGAGAGTCTTACAGGAATACCTCTACGACCTTGGTACCGAGGACCCAAACGATGTCATTCCAGATGGAAGCGTCGAAGGAGAAGAGCACTGGAGTTCTCCTTGGAGGAAATTTCAAGTGCCTTACAGAAGCAGAGGTGTAGGATAAACGGGCAAAAGGATTATGCTTCAGTTGTGATGAGAGATTTACACCGGGATATAAATGCAAGAATCAAGCCCTTCAAATTTTGATGATCTTTGAGGAAGAGGAGAGTGCGAACAAGCTAGAGGAGATCGTAGAGGAAACAACACATTACATCTAGATATGGCGGATGTGTCCTTATACTCAGTCGTAGGATTCACTCCAAAGCACACCATGAAAGTAGGGGGTAAATCGGGGAACAACCATTGGTGGATAGTGAGGCTACACATAACTTTATCTCAAATCGGGTTGTCGACCGCTTGAGGTTGCAGTTGATGGAGATGGAAGGATGTGGGGTGATGATGGGGACGAGTAAGATAGAGAGGATTTGGGGAATATGTAAGGGGGTGGTGATGATCTTGTAGGATATTCAGGTGGTGGAAAACTTCCTTCTCTTAGACTTAGGAAGTATGGATGTGATTCTGGGGATGAAGTAACTACAAATCATGGGAGAAATGAAGGTGAATTAGAAATCTTTGACCATGGAGGTTCAGGTAGAGGGGAAGAAGGTAGTGCTACAAGTGGATGCTAGCTTATGCAAAATTATGATATCACTTAAAATCATGCTTAGGATAATCAAGGGTACATGCCTAAGGTACTTGGTGGAGTTGCATAGTATAGGAGTCCATGAACAAGAGGCAGGGGAAATCCCAATGGGGGTCTAGCAGATTCTACAACATTATCAGGATGTATTCCGACAACCTATTGGCTTATCACTGCCATGAGAGTACGAGCACGCCATCAACCTAAAAAAGGGGACTCATATAAGTATAAGAACCTACCTTTATCTCTAGATTCAGAAATATGAAATAGAGATGTTGATCAAGGATATGATGGAAGCAAGGATCATTATGCCTAGTGGGAGCCCTTTCTCTAGTCTAGTTCTGTTGGTGAAGAAGGATGACAGCTAGATGTTTTTTGTAGATTACAGTGCTTTGAATAAGAAAATAATGCTAGATTAATTTTCCATCCCAGTGATTGATGAACTCTTGGATGAGTTATTTGGGGCAATGATCTTCTCCAAGATTAATTTGATGTTAGGATATCGTCAAATAAGGATGAAGATATCTGATGTGTACAAGACGACCTTTGGAATACATGAGGGGCACTACGAGTTCCTGATGATGCCCTTCGGCCTCAATAATGCCACTACTACCTTCCAGACTCTCATGAACCGAGTGTTCCAATAGCACCTAAGAAAGTTTGTTTTAGTATTCTTTGATCACATCATGATATAAAATAGGACAGTAACAGAACACTGGGAACACTTGAAGGCATTACTAGATACCTTGAGAGTGTATTAAAAGTTTGCCAACTAGAACAAGTGCTCGTTCAGGCAGCCACAAGTGGAGTATTTAGGGCATGTGGTGTCCAAGGAGGGGGTGTCAGGAGACCAGTCCAAGGTTCAGGCCATGGTGGACTGGACTCTTCCCTAGAACTTGAAGGAGTTATGTCGGTTCGTAGGACTCACCAGTTACAACCGAAAATTGGTAAAAGGATACGGAGCCATTGCGAGACTTTGATAGAGCAATTAAAGAAAAATAACTTCAAGTGGGGGAGGAAGTGACACAAGCTTTCCATGAGTTGAAAAAAGCCATGATTTGTATACCAGTATTGACGCTCCCAGATTTTAAAAAATCATTTGTGGTCGAGACAAATGCATCCGGCTATTAGATAGGAGCAGTACTCATGCAAGACCAGAGACCTATTGCATATTTCAGCCAGTTGCTTACAGACAGAGCAAGGCTCAAGTTTTTGTATGAGCGAGAGTTGATAGCAATTGTCTTGGCTATTTAGAAGCAGCGACCCTATTTGTTGCATGAGTATGAAATATTTGATGGAACAATAGATGGTCACTAAGAAGCATCAGAGATGGCTATCCAAGTTACTTGGATTATGATTTAGAGATCCAATATCGATAGGGCTTAGACAATAAAATGGCAGATGCCTTGTCCAGGAGGGTCAGGAGCCCTAGTTGGCAACCTTGTCAGTACCCATGATCTTAGAATGGGAAGCATTGATACAGGAGAGTGAGCAGAATGAAGGATTGAGGAAAATTAGGGAAGAGTTGGTGAAGGATTTGAATAGTCACCTAGGTTATGCTTTAAAGGGGGAACAATTACTCTACCATATGAGATTTGTGTTAACATGAACCTTAGTTTGCATTCCAAAGCTACTGCAAAGAGTTTCATGACAATGTGATAGTGGGATAGTCAGGAGTGTAGAAGACACACAATGACTATTAGTTGACTTAATTGGGAGGGGATGTAGAAGATATGGTAGCAATGTCTGATGTGTGTCATCAACATAAGTACCCGATGATGGCATCAAGGGGGTTGGTTGTTGTAACCATTAGCTTTACTTGAGAAGGACTAGGATGAAGTGACAATTGACTTCATTGAGGGTTTTCCATTCTCTGAGGGATATACAGTGATATTGATGGTGGTAGATCGGCTGAGCAAGTATGCTCATTTCATTCCACTGAAGCTTCCTTGCACCACTGTCTCAATTGACACAGTCTTTATTCGAGAGGTAGTGGGCTTACATTGTATTCTATAATCTATAGTATCAAATAGAGATAAGGTGTTCATCAACTATTTTAAAAGGAGTTATTCAAGATGCTGGGGACAGTCCTGAAAAGGAGCACAACATATCCCCCACAGATGGACGACCAAATGAAAGTAGTCAAAGGAGCGTGTAGACATACTTGCGTTGTTTTGTGTATGACACACCAAAACTATGTGCCAAATGATAGCATGGCAGAGTATTGATATATTACATCTTTACGTACATCCGTATAAACGACCCATTTCAAGATTCTATATGGAAGGGATCCATTTCATATAATATATTACAGACATAGTACTACACCATTATCTAGTTTAAATCAATATTTGAAGGAGAGAGATTGGATAATTGCATAACTCAAAGGGCATTTACTGAGAGCTCAACAACTTATGAAGAACACAAATGGGAAGTGCAATTCATGCTTAGGGACAAAGTTTATTTGGAACTTATATCATACTGACTGGAGACACTGGCCAAGAGGAAGAATGAGAAGCTATCACCACATTACTTTTGGCCTTATGAGGTGACGAAGCGCATTGGGGCAGTAGCATATCGTCTGATGTTCACAGTATTATCATCAATACACTCAGTATTACATGTATCACAATTGAGGCATACTATCGGAGATCAGAACACCGTCTTCCTCACCACCGGCGACATTAATTGAGGGCATGGAAGTGTGGATATGGAACCTTTGAAGGTTGTGGGATCACCACACAGGACAACATGAGCAAATGAGGTCCTAGTTCAATGGAAGGATCTACTTAATTATGAAGCTACATGGGAGCGAAACGAAATGAACATGAGATAATTCTCATTCTTCCACCTTGAGGACAATGTGTATTTTGGGGAGGGAAGTATTGATACAATAGCAGGAGGCAGGGGCGGGCTGAGTTAAACCCAGCTAGTGGTCCGACAAGAGTCGAAATAGCAAGGTCGGGTGGAACCTAGAGCGGAAACCAAAGGGGTTTTAACCCCCCTTGTGGGTCCCAACAAAGTTATTATTCAATATGTTAGGAGAAAAAATATCAAAGCCTTGAATATTGTTTGATTGTTTGTTATATCCTTTATTTGGAAATCGAAAGCATCTATGAGATTGAATGGTGATCTTTAGTAGTGAGCTTATCAATGGCAAGAAGATTGTGTTGGGTTAAGACCATGAAAACAATATTAGAATGTAAAAGCTTATAGAGGGGATAGGAAGAATGCTTTGACCAGTATTCAGTATAGATAAGGGCTAACCATTGTGAAGGAAGACTTGATCATTTCCCAGGTATGGCACGGGCTGTTGAATCTTAGTCAATTCTTCCACTTCAGTTTCTTACTTTAGACGAGTATTATTGCATAGGTTGATTTTTCAAACGGTTTTTAATGGCAGTCCAGATTTCAACAAATGACTATAGATTTAGCTCATAGGGAAGAATTGAAAATTGTTTTCATTGAAAACAAAGCAAGTGAGAGATTTTCATTAACATCCAAGCATTTTAGTTGAGACTTGGAGAAATTCAACCGGTATTAGAGATAAGTTGCTTAGGTGGGCTAAGTCGTAGAGCCATCGAGTAAACCATTAAAGCCAATCACCCTAAAATAGTTTGAGAACTTGCGACCTCCACACGGGGTAGTGGTTGTAAAGACATCAGACATTTGAGTTGAAGAGATATAGGAATCACACCCATTTTGAGGAGAGATTATTAGGTGCGGAGTGTGGACGGGGAGAACTATCCGCACAAATATTGGGTACCTAGCGGTATCTCACTCGGTGCCGCTGGGTACCGAGTGCTTGTGCGGATGGTGCGCACTCCGCACCTAATAATTTTTCCATTTTGAGAGTGGTCTTGTCTTGATCATTAAGTTGGAGAGTTGGCCTTGGGAAAATGATGCCAAATTTTGGAAACAGAGAGTTATAGTAACTTCTTGCTTAAATACGGCACCTTTTTAAGATTTTGTTTTAGACGATTTTTTTATTGTTTCTTAAATAATCATTATAGCAGAAAATTTTTTAAAAAAATTATTAAAAAACTGATTTAAGAAGCAACAAAAAAGTCATCATAAACAAAGCCTAAGTACACATCTCGATTAAGTATGCAAAATTTTAATAAAAACTTAGGGTTCAAAATTTATAGCTTAGTAAGTGTCATGAATGGTCATTTACATACACCATTGATTTATATTCACATTTCTTCCTTACAAAAGAATAAATCATAAAGTTGCGAATAGTCTGCTCATAATATTCTTGGAGGATTAGCTGATTAATTATTTTTACAGGTGGGTTCAATTCGTTTTTTAATCAGTTGGAGGAATACCTGAGAAAGGAGTTCAGTCTCAAAGCCTGAAGCTATCCCTCAAAAAATAAGCTAAAGTATTGCTAAATGAGGTAGAGATGGCATCACTCTCTAGAGTACGAACTTTTATTAAATCCGGTGTAAGGATGCAGAGGAACGTCCGGTTGGAGGCAAAATTCCGCCAAAAAACTCGGTATTTGCTTGGTACAATTAGGTATTATTTGATATTAATGAGAAATACCGCTCTTTGAAGATCAATATCAAATTATACCGAGCTGTACCGAAAAATACCGAATTGTACTTGGTACAACTTTTGTATAACTCGGCATTTCAAAATTTAGCTCAGTATAACTCGATATTGGGTTTTTAAATGATGGTATTCCTCATTATTGTTTGGTATTGCTCGGTATTTACTCGGTACAACTTATTCTTTGGCAGGATTTGGCCTCCGAACGTTCCTCGGCGTCCGGTCAAAGGATGTAATAATTTTTCAGTACAAACAGTGAAGTTTGTATAAATGCATGCATGCTCTGTTTTTTTGTTTATTATTTTTATAGGTTAACAATATGTAATTTTTTTTCATGAATAGTAAAAAAGGGGTTTTAACTTATTGGTTTTAAATTTCTTTATTTTCATAATATTTTTTTAGTGAATAAATTTAATCAAATTTTATCAAAGAAACTATTCATTCATCTCTTGAAAGAATTGTTATTACATTAATTTTTTATTAATTAATTTTAATTTTTAATGTGTAATCAAATTAATTATACCTTTTTTTTCAAAGTAATACTAATTTAATAAAACATTTTGTTAAATTTATAAGATTTTGATAAGATTTCATGCAAGTTGGGTTATTTTTATAAAAATTTTTTATTTGTTATTTTTTATGTCTAAACAATTTACGTTAGTAATTATCACATAATAGGAGATTTAGATGAATATAATTTGATTTTATGACATTAGCATACTACTTAGAAAGTGCCCTTCCAACTGGAATTTTTATTGCGTCCTCCCACCTGACGTAGAGATGTGTCCTCCCAGAGCTAAAATCGCGCTAAAAAATGAGAAATGCCAAGCAAATATCGAGCAATACCAAACAATAACGAGGAATATTATCATGTGAAGACCAATCCGAGCTATACCGAGCTATACCGAGCAATACAAAAAATACCTAGTTTTTTCTAGAAAAAACTCGGTATGTGCTCGATATTGCTCGGTATAACTCGGTATAACTCGATATTGGTCTTCACATGATGATATTCCTCGTTATTACCAAATAATATCTAGCAATACCGAGCAAAAACCGAGTTTTTTGGCGTTGGGAGGACGCATCTCTATGTCAGGTGGGAGGACGCAGAATTACTGCCTATTAATTATGCCTTAAATTTCTATAAAAATCATTTAAAATTCACACTTTTGTTTGCCCACTTAACTTTGTAAGCACAATTTGGCAGATTCTGCATTAGAAGGATAGGTTTCTTCTTTTATTAATTTTTTTAGAACTACTTTTAAAATTGCTACAACTTTATTTTTAACAATTGCTTAGAAAAATTTGAAAAATGTAAATCTCGATACACATAAATACAAAATAAAACACCAAGTCAGAGAATGATTTGATTGAAAGCTTTAGAAGAGGCATATCTACTTAGATTTCGGTTAGGAAATTTTTTTTTTTACTATTTTTTTAAACTGTTTTTTAATAATATTTTCTAGAATTTTTATTCTTAAAAAACTGCTTATAAAAATTAAAAAAAAAAAACAATCTCAATCAAAGCCTTAGAACATCTCACACATTAAAACTTAAATTTTAGCAAATCAAATTGCAAAATCATTATCTATAAACTTTAAATTAAAATCTCTTGATTGAAGCCCTAAGCAAAGATATAGCAGCTTGTAATTTGGAGGAAATTAAAAAGGATGCACCCCCTCCCATCGTGTAGCAGCAGAAATCAATATTGGCCCTATGCAAAAGGTGACCTGCCATCAAGTAACAAAGCCCCCGTTGTCTGAGTAGAGCCGTTTTTTACAACAACAACATCAAGCCTTTTATCCCACCCGGATCGGCTATATGAATATTTTTTCTCCATTGTATCCTATTAAAGGTCAAATTTTCATATAAATCTAAAAAAGAAAGGTTGTTACTAATATCTTCTAATCAAATCTTCTTAAATCTCCTAACCGGGTCATTGTAAGGCCGTTGTTTTATGTGAAAACCCATCGAGAAATCCAAAACAAAATTAAAAAAAAAAATAACTTAAATGTCCCAATATGAAAAAAGCATCAATACTGATAGCTAAGCAATGAAACATTGTATGGAAATGGTACTCAAACGAATGATAGACTCATCACAATAGAGGTAGGTAGATTCATTCAAGGAAACTAAAAATAAAAATTTTGATGCCGCATGACAACAACAATGAGAACTAGCTCAAAGAACAACATCACTAACCAAGTTGTCATCGGACTAATATTTTATGTGACAAAACCATCAAAGGCAACTCTATTCAAACTTAGCTACTTCAACCTTTTCACACATAGGCTTGATACATATTATGTCTCTAAGGATAAAATCACTCATCCATCTTAGCATCCTCATCTATATAACACTTAATTCTAATTTTATGCTTCTCTTTTAATGACTAACATTATGCACCATAAAAGATTACAAGCCTCAACACCATCTTATAAAATTTACATAAGTTTGAGAGGTTCATATTTTATCACACAACAAGCATGATGCATTACTCCACTTGAACTATCTAATTTAAATTTTACTAATAATATCCTCATCTAAATCATAGCACTTTACACAATAAACTCAAGATATCTAAAATGCGTGCTTTTATTAATAACTAGATAGTCTAAGTTCACAACCTCCCACTAAAATTATTACTACTTAAATTACTAAACATCTACAAGAGAATGTATCCTCTATGTATGCTTTTCGATGGTGATATTTTTTTTGTTGATAAAACTAAAGGTAAACTTAAATAAGCATGTCAATCTCTCCATCACATCCTCCCACTAAAACCAACTAAAATAGTGAAGTACTCGCACAAGCATTATTAACCCTCTTTCTTTTCTAAAACTCTCCATAACCCTTCTTTTGGAACTTCATCATGCAATTTATCTCTATACTTTCCATCACACTTCTCAATAAATGTATATTACCCAACACCAATCCATATTAATTTTAAAAATCATTAATATCACATCATAACCTATGCTCAATAACTTTTTTCCATAATGTTAAAGCATGACACATTACATAATTCTTCTATAATTCTCATAATCTTGTACATCAACTTTGATCTTAAAAAAGTAAATCAACATAATCCTACACTCATCTAACATCATTTTAGTCTTCATAATTATATTAAAATTATTCATAAGCTAATAAATTATTTCATATCCCAAGTATTTTTATAACTCTATATGAATATCATCATGTCCAACATCTCTTCCACATCACATTTTCAATAAAGCCTCTCAAATCAATTTACTAATACACCGATAAAAATAAAATCTCTAGTTTCAATAAACATGCTAAAATCAATCATATTCTCATAATTTTCATCGAAATGCACGTCCAAATATCACAATCACAGTTATTGATCTTAGCACGTTCAATCAAACTCAGAGATCACTGATAATCTATTAAGCAACCAAATTCAACCAATCACACCATGCACAGGTTATCCTGATCTCTAACTTCTATTCCCTTGCCTGATATAATTCTCAAGAACAAACTGCAAAAAATTTACCAATCAGCCAACCCACCAATCCATCTAATTACCTATCATGATCCTCAGAACCTCCATACAATGGCATACCATAGGTATCAATTACTCAAGCTTTTGAGAAAACAATGAGGACAAAGCACATGGCTAACAAACAAGCCTTTCCTAAAATTTGTGCACTCACCAATACCAAAAGAAACTTCTACCACGATATAAACCCCTTAAAACTTTTAGAAAAGTAACAAAATATTCAATAATCAATCCATCAAGATATTTTACTCTTTCTTACAAGAGTTTCTATGTATTACGTATTCCTATCCTTCTAAAGAAAAACTATAGAACCATATAAAAATTATTGATAATAATATAATTAACATAATGGAAAAAGAATACAAAAAAGTACCTAAAAAATATAGTAGTTTTCAATGGCATAAATTAAGCATACTAGCAATGATTTGGACAACCAACAGGAAAAACTTGCTTCCATTAACCTGAAAATAAGATGTTTTAAGTTTCTAATACTTCCAATGATTCACAAGACATGATGAAACAAATCCCTTGAAAATCCAGCCAAACGAACAAATAACAGCCACCTTGCAAACCAAAGATGAAATCCTCAAAATGAAGTAGTGATTGCCTCAGACATCCAAGGAAGGAATTGTTAAGCAGCATAAGCTCTCAAGCCTGGCAGGGCGAAAGCTCTCAGGCGGCCACTGCGAATGTTTGAGAAACAAGCCTTGAGTTTGTCATCATAGGCATCTAGCATGAACCAAGACCAAAATGTATAACTAGCAGCATTTGAAAATACTGCTCAACCAGAGCTTACAACTGCACAGCTTCTGGAAATCTAAATAATTCAATAATTTAAAAAGAACATAGTTTTCAATATCCAATAACAGACTCCATTATAAGAATTAAACAAGAGAAAAACGACATATTTCATACCCAAAATAATTACTTCAGAGCCCTCTTTTTGCCCAAAACCATCAAGCAAAAACTTGTGCACTTTACAAAATATTCTAACTACTTACAAAACGATAAACAAATATGACGCTGATAAACACTTTGTTCAATACATTCTAATCCTTTTTCTTAACATTGAAAGGAACAAACAGGATAACAAAGACCTGCAGAAAATCCTCAAAGCGGTATCATACCCAATGAGTCCAAAATGTCCTTATATCCTAAATTTCTTTTCTAAGCAATGAAAACAATTATACATCTTCCAATCAAAGCCAACTTAAGACGAAAAGAAGAGAAAGCCTCAGACATCCAAGGAAGGTTTTGGTAAGCAGCACAAGCTCTCAAGCCTGGCAAGGCGAAAGCTCTCAGGCGGCCACTGCGAATGTTTTGAGAAACAAGCCTTTTAATTTGTCATCATAGGCGTTAGGCACTTCTTACTAAACAATTTAAAAAAATTATAAAATTTTAAATCAGACAAATCCAAAAGTATGACTCCATATTCATAAAATTCTGAAAATTTTTCAAAATGAAGCAACTGTTGCTGACATTCAATGGGTGCCTCGGTGTCTGTAATGCTAATAATAAATCGCAGTTCAGAACGAGGAACTTATTTAAAATCGCAGCAATCAAAAGTGATAAAAGCAAAGCAATACAAGAGTACCAAGTGCGCCAAAATAATTGAACGAAGTTAGAGCAAATCAATAACGTATCGATCATAACAGAACCAGGGCCTCCGAGATTAATGACGATTTCATCGCCTTCCACATCCAAAAAAATCTCAGGTATTAGAGAGAACAGGAGGAAGCGGTGCGGCGTAAACCCTAACCCTAACCCTAACCCAAACGCTAGCGGAAATGAATCTGGCGCCCGATCTTAAGTCCAAGATGAATTTATAGACAGGAAAAAAAAAAAAAGAGAAGTGCTGGAGATGAGTCGGGCTGGGCTGGGCTTGGCCTAGCGGAGCAGTTCAGGTAGACCTCTTGGGCCATATTACAGCCCATTTACTGAATTTAATTAAACAAAAAAATAAAACCCCGCAAAAACCAATTTTTAAATTAAAATTGAAAGGCATTAAAAAAATAACATAATATTTCAATTACAAAACAACCACCAATTTAGATAGAAATTTTATGAATTAATATAGTATATGTGAATAAAATTTTCAATAAACTTTATAATCAAAATAACATATTTAGATAAAATAAATTCAACGATATTAAAAATATCCTAATCTTAGATCATATAGGCTTAAATTAAGAACAAATTTAACATCCTCTGCATTTTGAGTGTTTATATTCAAAATGAATACTTCAATGAGATATATATTATCACATATAAATCATATATTATGATAATGGCACTGTAACAAAGTGTGTAGATTATATGATTTGCCTAAAAATTTATTCATTTAGACAATTTTTATAACTATAATAGCTCTAATGAATAATTACGGCAACTACGATGTATTTATCACCTTGAGGTATGAATATTGTGGTAATAAAGGAGAAGGCCAAAAGTAGCTTACTTCTAGCTTTGAAATAGAAGTGTAGAGTGTCTCCATTACCCATAATAAAGACTAAAACATAGATATTGGGCTTCCTTTGAGTCGATTTTTTATTGTTTCTTAAAACGGAGTTTTAAAAAGCAATAAAAAAGTTGTATGTTTTAAGAAGCAATAAAAATTTGTCCCCATCAAAGCCTTAGTTCGGAATAGCTTTTTTTTTTTTCTAATTAAAACAGCTTTTTAGTACAAAAATTTTTTCAAAGCAAAGAAAACACAGAGATAAAAGTTGTCTCAAATGAAGCCTTAATTAAGAAGTGAGCTGGAAAAACTACACATTTGGTTGAGCCCACTGATAATGACATGTCACCAACAAAATTCTCTTCCTATTCAAAGTAACACATGTGGTAGTTCATTTCTTTCGCGAAAGTAGAACAAAATATTTTATTCAACAAAATCATATTTTGGCTTTATATTTGCTGTGGTTTGTATAATTTCTAATTTCTAAAAATGAAATAGAACGCAAGGCTCCATTAACTTTAAAAAAATTAAAATATATGTGAAGTGGTAGGGCTAACTTACACAATATGTGGCTATTAGGAAACCACAGATGGAGCAGCTGACTATAAGCTACTCGAAATGAATGATAAGTAAAGAGAAGACCATAAGATCAGCTTAATCTCATTTAGGGGTGTAAGTGAGTCCAACTGATTTGTGAGTTGGATTAAGCTCAGCTTGATAAATGGCTCGTGAGCTGAGCTAGATGAGAGCTAACAAGCGAAGTCTTATTCAGCCTCAACTCGACTCGTTAGCTCGTGAGCTAGCTCATATAAAAAATATTAACATATAAACAGAGTTAAAATATATTAGAATTTAGGAGTTCAGCATAAATCTATTAAAATTATTTAAAAATTATATCCAATTTGTTAATATCAAATAATTTTAGAATGAATATTTGCTTAAGAAAATTATATTTTATGATTTTTTTACTTCCACCAAAAGAAAAAAAGGTTACAAAATATCACAATTATATATAACTATGCAATTTGCGCCCCGGGGGGGGATAATTATTCTATGCGGACTCCAAACGCCAAACGCGTCACCCCTTCGCTCTTCGCTCGGTACCGCGGCTCGTGGGTACTATCGAAGCTTAATGTTACAAGTCAAAAGCCAAAGGAGTTGCAAGTTGGCTCCAAATTTGGAAGGTTCTTATATACTTAAAGAAGTAGCTAGCATAGTAACTTATCACTCTTACAAACTAGTGAAGGCATCAAGCTACTATGAATCTTTTTTACTTGGAAGATTTTTTGCTTAACATTTAACGAGGACTTTATAGGTTTTTTAATTGTATAATAGATGAGAACTTAGGCTTTGTTTGGGACGGCTTTTTTACTGTTTTCTAAAACAGAGTTTTAATACAAAAATAAAAAATTTTGTACTAAAACTTCGTTTTAGAAAGTAGTAAAAAAACCGTCCCAAACGAAGCCTTAGTTGAAGTTCCATCCATGAGGGGTCACATCGATGAGTAAAAACTAAGTCAAGTTGAGACCACCATTAGCTAATTGTTAGATTGAGACTTCTAAATTATAGATTTTTAGCCATCTGTAAATTACATATTAAATTTCTATCTAAATTTAACTATAAGTTTATAGCTTTTTTTTTAATTAATATATTATTTTTAATTTGCAAAGAATATAAATTAACCTTCCAACCTTGAAAGTTGATGTAGCATCCACTTATAAAGAACAAGAAATATTTAAGCTCCTCATTTAGTAGGAGTGCAACAAATTGTTCTAGGGTCTTTGAACTGCCAATAGGTGCAAACTTAAATATTTAAGGACCAAGAAAGATATAAGCTCCTTCTAAAGTATGATCACACATTATTAGGGTCCTTCATCTAGCTATGTGAGTATTGTAATTCTAGGAAGTCTCCTTAGAGTTGGTGAATCTCTCTATAATAACACTATAAAAGATGCAATCTTCATATATAAGCTTGGAAAGTATATATAATGTAGTTTTTTTATGAGGGAATAGTGGGACATTTTCATTATTTTTTCTTTCATCTTCTACCTCTTCATTACTATATTCTTGTGAGGTTGAATATTTCAAAAGTATCCTGCATCAAGACGCAAGATCTCAAAAGAAATTCTCTTCAAGAGCCTTAACTTCTCGAGCACCTTCAAAAATTAAGTTCTAAAATACCTTTTCAGAAGGTTTTTCATGTATGGATTCAACTACATTAAATTCTTATTCATTGTTTGTATGAATAATAATAATGACAGACATAAAGTTGGAAACAACAACATATTGAGGAGCATAATATGAAGCTTTATTTCATCTCCTTGTGACCCCTAGTGGTTATATTAATTGTACAAATGAAAAGGAGAAAACCTAGATGTTACTCAATGGATTTTTCTATTATAATAACACAATATAAGCTTGGTAACCATCAATCAACAAAGATTTTACAAAAAAAGAACTACTATGATGAATTTTCTAAGACTTTTTTGGTAAATCTATGCATTATGGAAGCATTTACAATTTATATTAGCTAATTACAAACATTTAAATAAATAATAATTTCAAATTTATAAATCATGAAACACAAATTCATAATTTAATTTGATAATTTTTTACCCTATCAGATAAAGATAACCTAACATGAAAATAAAATCATATCAAAAAATTGTGAGGTATACCAATCAAATAAAAATATTTCCAAAAAAAAAAAAACTCATAATATTATTGAAAGAAATCATCAAATATTGATACAACTTAATCTTAACAACAAAAAATAAAAATAAAAAAAAATCCAAAAATCAACATCATAGAGTTGCACATTGAAATTTTTTTGAGCGAAATGTACACTAAAAAAAGAACTACTACGAGGAATGTTCTAACACTTTTTTAGGTAAATATATGCATTATGGGAGCATTTACAATATACATTAGCTAATTCTAATAAACATATAAATAAATAAATAAAAATCTCAAATTTATAAATCAAGAAATACAAACTCATAATTTTGATAATTTTTTACCCTATCAGATAAAGATAACCTAACATGAAAATAAAATCATATCAAAAAATTGTGAGGTATACCAATCAAATAAAAATATTTCCAAAAAAAAAAACTCATAATATTATTGAAAGAAATCATCAAATATTGATACACCATAATCTTAACAACAAAAAATTAAAAAAAAAATCCAAACATCAACATCATAGAGTTGCACATAGAAATTTTTTGAGCGAAATGTACACATGTAAAATGATTTGCAGCAAAAGACACTCTAAATGATAAGAAAAGACAAAATAATCGTAAATAATTAATTAAAAATTACAAATCATCAAGTAAAAGATGTACCATGGACCTTCTTCAAGTAGCATCCTTTTGTCACCATTCTAGTTAAGCCCACCCCATAAGCCTCATCTCTCTTATTGGACTCTTGAGTTTAAGGATGATGGACTAATTTTAGAAGGAATAAAACTTAGCTTTAAACTTGGATAAAAACTCCTACTCTCACTATTCAAATTCATGTAAAATGGACAATTAGACTCATTTTTAAGAGGAAGATTGGATTCTAAAAATAAGAATAAAGACCCATAGTTGCTACTTTCAAGTCACAATTAGCCTCCATAAGTATATATTTTTTACTCTTTTTGGAGAAAAGTTTGAGCTTATATTAGAAAATTACAATCTCTTAAGAATTTGTAGGGAATTTAATCTGTGGATGAAGAAATATAAATGGATTTTTAAATTTGTTTTATTTTCTAAGGAATTTTATCGATATTTTAAAAGAAAATTTTATTTTAAATTAAATTCTAATTTATTTATTTTATCTTTTTTGTAGAATAAAACATTTAAAGATCATTAGCTACTTTGATATAGTGACTCCCTCCACCACTACCACTCTTGGTAAAACAATTTGAGATTTTATTTGCTCATTTTCATGAAATATTCTTCTTAAATTTAAGTTGAGTTTCATATTTTTTTGATAAATTAGTTAAACTTTTTGTTTTTCTTTTGATTAGTACTATATTTATGAGAACTTAGGTAAGATTTAAAATATTTGTGAAAATGTAGGTTACATTTTAGTAAAATTTAGGTTAGATTAAGTTGATTTTTTTTAGTGATCTTTTTTTTGGGTATGTTAATTTGGAATGTGAATAGATAATTAGGCAATTCATCTTGTAACTTTTTTAATAATGTAATTGCTTTTAGAATGGTTTATTTTGGATATGTTTTCTATCTTGTCGATAAAAATAGTTAGGAATACATTATTTTAATATTTTTTCTCTATAAATTTGAGAATATTGCTTAATGACAATATGAGTGTTTCAATAAAACACTGGTGAAAAAGACCTAAAAATTTCTAGAAAAAAACTAGTGGATTTTATTCATCGAAAAAACTAGTGGTTTACAACATCAGATATATCAATGGACAAATGTCGCTAGAAATTCTAGGGGCTTGTGACCCTTCGATATACCTGTTGGAATTCTTGTATTGCAGTGATTTTTAATCTATCAATATTTTCAGTAGAGACCATCCATACTTTGTCAAAAATATTTTCCTGCGAATCATATTTCATCAGTAATAGTTTCCTACGGGTTCTTTATCGTCATATATTTAACCTTCAAAATTTTACTTCACCTTAGAGAAATTATCATTTTATGGCTAAAATTGATTATTTTTTCTAATGTGTGCTAGCCGACGCACTAGATATTTTGAACTCATTTTCGAAAAAAAAATTGGCTAATTTAGGTATATTGAGACACCTAGTGATTTTTTACATTTTAAAATCATTTATAAATATAGAGCCTTTTAAAGAATGTTATCACAAAATTTAAAGGATTCCAAGCTTGATATTTTAAAAAAATAAGCAATAAAAGTTATTTCAACAATGCTTGTAGCTTCTACACATATAAGACAACAATTGATTGAAAATCTTGGTTCACAACCTTTAGAAAAGTTCAACATAATATCCTGGAATTTATTGTGCCTCAAATTTTCTTTTGAGTTGCAACTTTCTAGTTAGAAATTTCTAAAGAATAAAAATATTTTAAAAAAAAATAAATTTTCATTTTAAAAATATGTTATGGAGATTGTGTGGTTCAGTGAGATAAACCCAACAATACAAACAACTTACAAATCCTACTCTAAATAAGTCTAAATCTAGCACTTTAAAGTGCCATTAGAAATTTCTCTAAGCAATTTGAGGGGTTAATCATCCTGAAAATTTTGGATAATTGTAGTTGAAATGAGTGGCTCAACACCATATAGATGATGAACTGAAGATTGCCCTATTTCTAGTTCATTACACCACTAGATATTTAGAAAATGTATAAATGATTAAGTAGACATATTCAAACCATTCAATAGAGTAATCACAATTCTTATAAAACAACCATAATACCTTCTTTATAATTCAATAAATATACCTTATTTTTATACACTCAAAGGAGTTTCAACATTAAGAAATCATGAATTTCTAAGAAAATTCATAGCACGTATATTGTAACTCTTTTTAATTAACTTGTTGACCATCATTTGATACAATGACTAAAGTCTGACATGTGTTAACCAATAATGTTTAATGTCTATCTTCTTAATCAGTTGGTTTCCCTTGTTATTAAAAGAAAAACTAAATTGAATGTCTATCATCACCGAACATCCTACATTCATATATGTTGTCCAATTCCTACCAATAACCAACATATAAGAACCATCAACCACCAATATTGTGAAACCCCTTAAGTAAAAGAAGCTAAATTCTTAAACATCGATGTGTATTTTGGCGTAATTGTTGAAATTTTTTTAAATAAAAAAAAATTACATTTAAGCGTGCTCATCCCGAAGCAATTCTAGGATGGGTGGCCTATTAGGTAGTTACATCAAAAAGACAAAATCGTAAGGCTCTTAGGCCAAAGCAGACAATATCTTGATAATTGAGAGTTTGGACTATTACAAATGGTATCAAAGCAATACACCAATCAAAAGATAGGAACTAAGTGTCAAACAAGATAAAGTGTTACACCATGGGAAATACCTCTTAAACCTTATATGGATAAAGTGCTAAATAACAAGAGCCACCACTTAAACTTGTAGGGGCTACCTCTAAAATTCTATCTGCTTGGTGCATGATTCTGAGATAAAGATGCTGACGAGAACGTCAGTTAGTTAAGTGGGGGAAATTGTGAACCCCTTAAGTAAAAGAAGCTAAACTCTTAAATATCGAAATGCCTTTTGGTGTAATGATTGAAATTTTATTTAAGAAACTCAGTAGTTAAGTGCGCTCATCTTGAAGCAATTCTAGAATGGGTGACCTATTAGGTAGTTGCAACAACATGACAAAATCATGAGGCTCTTAGGCCAAAGTGAACAATATCTTGATATTTAAGAGTTTGAGCAATTACAAATATGATGTGTGCTTTCTCAATCACTCAATTTGTTATCCTATTAGGATAATGGCAAGCCAATCACCCACCATCACTTGAATAATGATGTTGTCCATCAATCATCTTCTAATGTTTGTTAATGATTGATATATGATGTTTGCCAATTATTAACATTCGATGCTCATCATCTTAACATCTCATTTTTCCCTCATATGATTAAAATGTTCAAGATAACCTCCCACCATCACTACACTTTTGTTATTCCCCCTTAATCATCATTTAATACAAAATAATGACTATCTTCAATATTTGCCAGCTATTAACATTCGATGTCCTTATTGTTGGTCACCAATATCCTCTTGTCAAGCTAATTTCTTATCATCAAACATTTAATGTTCCCTATCGATTAACATCTCAAACCTTCTAATGATCGATGCTTAATGCTTGTTATCCGTAAACATGGAACACTTATCTTCTCATTCTCCCCCCCATCAAGAGAAAAAACCAAGCCAACTATCTACGATCACCAGACTTCTAACAAGTTTTATCAACTATCATTTAACGTCTTCCAACGACCAACTTCTGACATCTACCAAGAACCAATGTATGACATCTTCTAACAACCAATATCTGACGTCTGCAAGCAAATAACCTATGTTGGTGCTCATCTTTCTTTTCAACCAATCTATTCTCTGATAAGAAGAGTGAAAAAGATGACCATTTCAATCATCTCTCATCTAATATTCTCTAACAAACATTACTTGATGCAATGTCGATAATTAACATTCAACTTCTACTAACTACAATATTTAATTTTCTTCCTCCTAATTAGCTCGTCTCCCCTCCTATCAGAAGAACAACTAAGCTGAATATCCTTTGACTCACAATAGAATAATTGTTTTAAAAAAATGTAAAAGATTCTCGTCTTTTATTTTGCTTTTAACTTATATGTGTGTGATCTTCACATAATATCATGATATTAAATTACCTAAATCATCATAAAATTTTAAGAACACAATAATAATAATTCATATTTTTTACTCGTTAAATTCCACTTTAAATGGATGAATGTCCAACTAATATACTATTGGTCCCATTCTTTCTTCTTTTTGAGCTCACTCAGTCTATCTTCCAAATTCAGACATCGTAGAGCCTTTTTCTATCTCCCATTAATGTGATAAAGCTTGTCCAGGTCCTCATACCGACTTATATAGTTATGTTAAGCCTCTTTACTCATCAGGTCTTCCCTCTCGCTTAATTAATGTCACAAATACCAATATCATTCATTTCAACTACCTTGTTTTGTTTCTCACACAGCTCTCTCTCTCTCTCTCTCTCTGTGCTCTCCCTCTCCCCCTATAGATTTTCTTTTGCTCACCTAATCTCGAAGCTCTGGTTTGAAACTTCAATGGAGTTTCATGGCAAGACATTTTCCCATGGCCGGCGGCTCTTCGAGCTTCTTGAAGAGCAGCAGGAGCCATTTCTTCTTGAAGTCTACCTCTTGGAGAATGGATATTCTCGCAATCTCCTGAAATCTGATCAGGCTAAAGCCAAATGCTGGCCTGTTAAAACCTGTAAGAAGCTTTTTGGATTCAGCTCCCACGTCATCAAAACTAGGAGAGGGGGGAAGCTGTTTAGTTGTGTTCTTCCCAAGCTTCTGCACTGGAAGCTCATTATAAAAGCTCTGAATTTGGAGAGCAGGTCTGTATTGAGCTGCTTCACTGCAATGGGAATCGAGGCCAGAGCTAGCCGGTTTAGCAGATTACTCAATTCCTGTGAAGAAATATTGGACGGTACAAAGCACTGGAAAACTATGGAAAATAGCAAGCAACACAGTCCAGTTTCAGTCTTCGAATTGCATTCAGATGAAGCCTGCTCTGCATACAATCACTGTAAGTTTTTTTCCTCTTCAATAGGTACCATCTTTCAACTATCAAATTTCACATTTTTGGTTTAGTTCGATCTTGCTTACAGAGTGCAATAGTTCTTCACCATTTCTTTTGTATTAAAATTTCAATTATGTAACTATTATTCAAAGAAGAATTCAAATAAAAATTCAGCATTGCTGAAAACAGAATAGCAGTCCAGATACAAGTGAATCAAACAAACAATAGCTAAGTTACTTTTAATAACAATTATTTCTATTTACTCGTATGTGTGTAGCTATGGAAGAAGAAAACCTATCAACCTCATCTCTGAATTCAGACATGTCTGAAGAACCACAATATTTTAACTGGTTCAGCAAGCTCCACCAGGATGAAAATGGCAGAAAGGAACCTAAAGAGAGGATTTGGGGCTCTCATGATAGCTTGAGTAATGGCAGAAGAAGTATGGAAATGCAGGTATTTTCCTTGGAAAAGCATAGAAAGGAAGTTGCCAGAATAGCGAAATTGATAGATGTGGACCTTTCTGGGACCAGGAAGGAATGGAGCCATTTCAAGGATGGGGGAAGAAAGATTGGTTTGAAGATTGAAAGACTCATCTTTGAAGAGATCAGAGAAGAGTTAGTTGTCGAAATGTTTGGCTCTCATTGCTTATTGAAAAGTGATTCTTTCTAATTCTTATTGTATCAGTTAGCAGTTTGCATTTTTTTTTTTCATTTGATCTGCTTCATTTCTTAATTGAGCTTTAGAACCTGTTATGTGAAAACTATTTTTTCTTTTACTATAGCTGAAACTCATTACTATTACCTTCTTTATAATACTAATTTCTAATGTGTCAAGCAAGAGAAGAAATGCATATCACATGCTTAAGCTAAAACTCCTAACCAACCGATCCGAATGAGCTGATTAGGCTACAAGATAACATCAGTGATTTGTCCTTTTTTTTTTGGAACGTTTAGGCCAATTAAGGCTTCGTTTGGGACGGCTTTCTTATTGTTTCTTAAATGAGCTTTTTAGGCTTTCTTATTGCTTCTTAAAGAAGCTTTTTAGTATCAAAATTTTTATACTAAAAAGCTGCTTTAAGAAGCATGAGAAAAACAGTCCCAAACGAACTGTAAGGCAAATTCACACGAACATCACATACGCGAGATTCGAATTCAAGATCTCTTAGTTGGTAACCAAAACTTCGAACCAACAGATCAAGATGACCTGCGTAGTGATTTGTCCTTCATAGTTCAATTTTATCACTGTTGGGGCTGGTCCCAAGCAAAGAAAAATAATAATAATACTACTAAAAAGGTTGAAAATTGATGCTACAGAAACACCCTGCCATGAAAGCAGACCAAGACAATAAAGAGGGATAGGGCTGCTGCTAATCTCAAACAGTGGACTTCTTTGTGGCTTTCATTAATTTTTTTTTTCTGTTATTTTAGACTATTTTTTATCAATACATTAGCAAAGCTCTTACAAGATATTGGATGTTAAAAAAGTGGGAAAATAAAAATAAAAATGGTTTCAATATATTTTGTGATGATAAAAAAAAATTATAAATTAATGCTTGAAATTAGATAATGTATAAATTTTACTACAAGAGAAAAGTGTTTTTTTTTTATTTAAATATTTTATGATTTTAAGTTTTTATCATTTTGTATATAAAAGTATTTGTCTATTCTTATGTAATTCTTTTAAGTGAAAAGGAAATCAAATGAAAAATCTCCTCTTCTAGCAATGATAGTGTCTCAGTTTTTCGAAAAATTATTCTGATAGTGTCCAGATGTGAATGAGAATGCGTCACATTATTTTTTTGCTATGTACCGTTGCTGTGGATAGCTCAGAACCGTGTTATGTGGCACGTTCTGATTCGTCTTTGGACCATTCGATGACCACACAAAATAATTTCTCCAGTTTTCTTCTATCTTCTACCTTCTACCTTCAAATTCTCTTAAATCAAAACCCAAAAAGACAAAAATAAAAGAAAGAAAGATAGTGAACTGACATAGATGAGATTCTCTTAATTTTTAGATAACCATGTGCACATTGATTGCATGCCAAAGACAAAATGGACTGAATTTAGAGCTGATGGTGATATATTAACACCACAAGTATAGACAATTTTTTATTATTATTAGTTTTGTAATTGAATACTATATTTTGTGATTCTCCACTTGCCTTTGTTTAAAATATAAATCAAAATTAAGGTGTCAATATCATTGAGTAACTAGAAAATTTTATACGAAGATTATTGTATAAGTCTCTAAAATAAGTCAGATGGTATAAACACTACAGGAAAATCGGCAATTACAGCAGATTTTTTTGGCGGAAATTGTCGCCAGAAAAGTTATCTCAATGTATTCCGTCAGAAAACCGCTGGAAAACTGCTAGGAAATTGACCGCCGGAAAATTCCGTTGGTAATGGGTGATTTTTTTATGGTTTAAGTATTGGAAAATTTATAATCTATCATATACTGTAAAATTTTATATGAAAATTGTTGCAAAAATATTTAGAATAAGCTAGATGATATTAGGTGATTAAAGGTTGGACATAGAATTCTGTATATAGTAGTATAAATAGAGTGTATGCCTTGCTATTTGGAATAGGCCAAATTCAATAGCAATTAGTTATATACAAGCTTGAGTAGTTTCTTTATCCATCCTCTCTACGAAATTTCTATCAAAATGTATCAGAGAAAAGTTGGTAGGAAGATGATGGCAAGTTGCATGAACATATAAGTGGCTTTGTCTCACAAATGAGATCTATGAGAGTTGGAGTATTTTACTGAAGGCATTATTTGTTTCCCAAGGCATTCAGGAGGTGGTGGAAAAAGATTATATTTAAGCTTCATTTGGGATAGTTTTTTGTTGCTTTCTAAAACAACTTTTTAATATAAAAATTTCTTGAATTAAAAATTTTTGTATTAGGAAGCCGTTTTAGAAAGCAATAAGAAAGCTATCCCAAACGAAGCCTTAATATCATGATCATTACAAGAAAGTCGTTAATTATCGGCGAAATTTCTGAAAAATTTCCGGCGGACTATTTTCCAGTTGAGTTCAGAAAAAATTTCCGACGCTCGATTTACTTTCAAAAAATTTTTGCCGAAAATCTGCCGGAAAATGCATAAATTTCCACAAAAAAAAATCGCTGATAATACGTGATTTTTCTGTAGTGGATGAGGAAACATTATCGACGTCTCAAATGAACTCTTGGAAGAAAAGCCGAGAGAATGACAATAAGGCATACTTCATATGCCAATCTTTAGATGAAGCTAATTTTGAAAATGTAACTAGCACATCTACTTTCCAAGATAATATGGGTGCTACTCCAAATGGCCTAAAAAAAGCATAGAAAATATAAAGAAATGGTGGTGATCATGGAGAATATGGAAATAATAATAATAATAAAGTTAGAACTCAAGTAAGAGAAATTTGAAGAATGAGCCAAATTATCGAAGGTACAATAAACCTCATTTTCATTTCATATGTTAGCAATAAGTAGTTCATTATGCTTTCAAATGTTATCATAATAAGAATAAACAAGAAAGAGCTAACTTGGAAAAGAAGAAAAAGGAAGAGTATTTCTTGTTGCTAACTTTCAAAAAAGAAGAAGATAGAAAAAAAAAAATTACTTGGATATTAGGGCTAGTAATCATATATATGGACATAGAAATATATTTGTTGAAATGGAGAAAATAGAGAGCCTAATTTATTTTGGCAACTCTTTAAAAGTTATGGTGAATGGAAATAGGTAAAATCCTAATTAATTCTTTTTAAAGATGGAACTCATCAAATAATTTTTAATATTTATTATGTGTAAGGTTTGAAGAGTAATATTTTGACTTTTGGGCAAGTGCTTGAAAAGAATATGATATTCACATACAAATAAGAAGCTCATTATAAGAATTAACTTAGGCTTTGTATGAGATTGACTTTTTGTTGATTCTTAAAGCAGCTTTCTCGTATAAAATTTTACATACATGCGGGAAGGTTTTCAGTTCGGCCGCCAAAATGCGTTCGAGCCCAAATTTTCTGCCTGAACAGTTCAAATCGGATGTTTTTGGGATCCCCGAAACAGTTTTTCGACGTTCCAAATCCAATTTTAGCACTTTCGGAGCTTAACGGAGCTTCTATGATAAAGTTTGAGAAAATTTATATTTTTTGGAATGGAATTTTCTGACATTTTTTTGCAATTCGATTAATTATAAATGTTGTAATACATATTTTCGGACTATTGGAGCTTCAACGTTCGAAAATATGGGCAACTGATATATCATCAAAAAATTATCTTGATCGGGCACGAATCTCGATGCAAAATCAACTTGAAAACTTCAAAAATTAAATTGGAAACCATATGAACTCCGATTTTAGCAAACTTATAGTCGAACTAAATGTCTCAAATATACGAACCCAATGACACCAAATTCAACCCAATCTGAGCTAAAATAGGTCCAAATCAAAGACCCGAAGTGTACTTGGAAGGTTCAATCCATAATTTGGATTACCAAATAGTTTCTAAACGCGACATGCTTATAGTCAAATAGAGTGGCTCGACGAGACGAATCCAATGAGCCCAAGATCACCAAATTCTAATATCGTTAAGACATTCAAATGTTAAGACATTCAAATGCCAGTAAAAGGTCCACGATCAAGGGATTCAATATCGGCCATTCATTCAAACTACTCACAGTTTATCCTTGATCTTCTTCATATTTACTGATCGTGCTACTCTCAAAAAACTATAAATAGACCCCTAATTTCTCATGAGAGGGGACCCAAGCAAGAAGAGAAGATAAGGAAGCAAGAAGAGAAGAGAATGCAGCAAGGAAGCCAGAAGAGAAGGAAGCGAGCTCTCTTGCTACCAGATTCCTTCTCAACCACCGTTGGACTTCCATCTGGCAGCCGACCTACACCATAGTTTTGCCCGGTTGCGAACTGACATCGGAGTTCTGCTCGACAGTAGATTGACACCAGATATATGCCCGACTATCAATTGAAGTTGGATTTTCGCCCGACCACCAAACGTCGCTAGATTTTTTTTCTCCGTTGGTAACTGAATTTCAACCCAGGAGCTGATCATTGTAATCTGAACGTCCTTAATTTCAGGCATGAGTCAGCCACTTGTAATCTAAGCAAACACTATTTGAATTCTTTCAACTGAGCGTGGCCTCGTGGTTTTCCCTTTTACAGGATTTACACTAAAAATATGGTGTTCTTTTTTATTTTATTTGTGTGCAAGATATCTGTACAAGGCTAAGACGAAAAAATTTCTAAATTTATCGCCTCGTATATTCTAGCCCGCAATAATTTAGAGTCGTATGTGAGAAATAATCCCATAATTCTAAGTATTTCTTCAATGACCAATAAGCTTAACAATCACATCTTGGGAGCCTCGCGCTCCAACACCCATCAATCCAAGAATCAGTCTATGAATCATGGATGCCAAGTATTTGCCTCTTTTTATCCTGGGGGTTAAATGCTACTGGGGAATGAACTTCAAGACCTTCCATAAAAGAACGTATCTGAAAAATGAAAAATGGATGAATCTCAAAATGAGATCCTTCAACCCCTGCGAGAGACTCAACAACTGGTGCTAGCACCACAGAAGGAGGCTTTTCTCACTTAAGATCCACCACTAGCCGAAGATGTTCAACTCGAACATCTTGACGCAGAAATTCCTCTTCCTCCGTCAAGGAGGCATATGCAATCGCATCAAGACAACAAACTTTCTGACACTGCAAGTTCTACTCATCCTTAGTATACATGTTGGCAACCTCACATTCCTCCGAACATCGTTGAAGACTTAATTCTACC